TGGCAAGTTTCCCATGGAAGTACCTCCTATTGACATCAGCAATGTTCGAAGGGGGCAGGATCCTGCGGTAGTCTTCCCCCCGCAGCCCAGCCATGAGATCACGGGTCTCTTTCTCGTGACGCCTTCCCATCTCATAATAGAAGCGATTGATGTGACAATTCCATTCACACTGAGTTCTGGTCAGTGTGCTGTAGTAGTGTGCGGCCGCGAAATCCACCATCGCCTTGTCTGGTCTGATAGAGTCTTTGTCAAAGCTGAAACCACTTCTGAAGTAGCTCTGAGCCACCAGCTTCAAAATTCCACTCTGCTGGTGAATGATCTGATGCCTGTAGAATTCGCCAGCAGTGCCTTCAGGAATAAATGTGTAAGCCATTGCTCTACGTTGCTTGAGCTCCTCCAGCTGGTCATCAGCGAGATGTTTGCAACCGTCTTTTGCACTAAAGTTAACTGATCTTTTGTGGACGTTTGACCTCAGATGTGCATACAGACTGTTATAATTGATGAGACTAGCCCTGCTTCTACCGCTGGCTGATCTCGCGCAGAGAGTACAGACCAACTAAAGCTTCTGCCTACAACCAGGTGTTTCACAGGACAGCTGTTCCAAGATGTCAGAGTACTCCGTTTTGAGCTGCCTACCTATAAGGTCAGTGTGTGCAGCATGCTTCTTGCACTGAGGACACTCGTGGGGGCCCCTGTCCTTCGCAACATGTCTTTGGCTTTCTGACATGGTTTATTTTCCTTCTTCTTCTTTTCTTTCTTTCTATCAGCAGAGAACACTATCGCTTCTCTCTCTCTCTCTCTCTTGGATTAACTTTATTGTGATCAGGAGAAAATGTGAGGCAGTTTCACCAAGTAAGCCGAGACTTGGTTCTTGGGAAATGGCGGCAACACAATGATGATTAAAATTAGAATGGCGAGCAGGCCACTCCTCTGAGGTTGCAGATAGATCCAAGAGTGCCTGTGGGCGTCGTGGATGGTTCCTTCTTCTTGGTCCTGCCCTTTCGTCGTCGAGGTTTGGAAGAGGTGACAGTAACGAATCCAGAAGAGTCTGGAGTGCCATTAGAGACCAGTGTTGTCGTGGAGACCGTGGGGGCGGATGCGGCAGTGGTTGTCGTTATTGCTGCAGGTGCGAGTGCAGCAGGAGTCTGTCTGAGCACTCGGCGTTGTCTGACAGCCTTGCGGATTCCATGGGTGCCCTTGATGTAGCGCATGGAGGGGTCTTCCGGGAAGTCAGCCTCGCTTGGTGTCCCGAAACTGAGGTCGGTGTCAACATCGGCTCCAATATCAGAGGAAGGATCGAGTTGGAGTTGGGAAATATCCAGCGCTAGGGACTCTGGATCACCAGCGGGTGTCTCTGCAATGGGTGCCTCCTCGACGGGTGCTTCTTCCGCTGTAAGATTGGCCAAGAGCTGTTGTTCAAGTTCGGTGGCAGCTCGACGCTGACGAAGCAAGAGTGTATCGTCAGGTTGCTGAATCTGATGGTACGGTGGTGCCATGAGTGGGCCAATCACAGGAAGTGCCGTAGGTTCCAGCTGTGCTTCCAGAGCTAAGGAGACACGTTGACGTGTCCAGAGGTCGAAGGGTTCATCGCATAGAACCTGCGGTTCGAAGGTGTGGTACCCTGTGTGGTCCTCTTGGATTTGCTGTTGAATACTCGTATCAATGGCCTCGTATTAGGAGGTACCGTAAGCAAACTGTGAGAAATCCTGAGCAGTGGGTGGGAAGATTGTTTCTCCATCGTCGAGTGCGGGCATTGGAGGATCCGCTTCGTTGGGTACGTCGAGGAGGTCCACCGGCGTCGTCGTAGTCTCATGAGTGGTTTGTGTTTGGTTGTCCTCGGATCCATCAGAGAGATATACGAAGGGCTGCCAGTCAGGATCAATCTCTGGCTCGCTGAACAACATTTCATGGGAGTAGGACTCGTAGGATGAGCGATCAACCTCGTGAACTCGTACCTCGCGTGTAGCCGTATTGGGCGGCTGTGATAGGACGGACGCGATATCACCAGCAAAGGACGGTGGTGTTGAATGCGTCTTGTTGCACGCGAGCTGCAACAGGTCGGTGTCCGTCTTGTTGTACTTGGTTTGGTGCGAGGACACTTCCAGGTTGTCTGCCCGTGGCGAGGTGTTGCCCACGCCGAGGAAGTCATGGGAGTTGACTGAGCGGGATGGGCGTGATTGCCCAGAGTTGTGCTGACTACGTCGAACAGCTAAGTCAGCCGTGTAGTCAAGGATGCTCTTCTTGCCCTGCTCAGAGATATTATCCCATGCCTCTTGATCCGACTTGGATAACGACCGCCATGTGGTTGCGTTCATCATGACCTTGCGCGGACGACGAGTGTCTGTCTGATGGGCTTGCAATAGGACCTCCACTGGTGTATCCATGTCGTGGACGAAGGCCCCATAGGCGATGTCACAGGTTTCCGCTGTACCATCATCGAAGAGAATTTCGTGTTGGTAGGTGCGGCGACGAGCATTGCTTCGAGAGCGTGTGGACGTTGCATGATTTGCACTGTCATGCAGTTGTGCTTGCTCGAGAAGAGCTGCTTGGTATTCATCGAGTGTATACTTGGAGGTGTCTCCTGCGGCTTTCTTGGTTTGCAGTGCGAGACGTCGTACGGGAGCGAGATTTGATGCCTTGGAGATTGAGCGTTCCAAGAAAAGTGCTCCCTGCTGGTCAGTGTATGGCTCGTCGCTGATCTCATTGTACTGCTGAAATTGTTCGAGGAAGTTGGAGATGAAACCGGCTTGGGACCCTCTCCATACACCTTCTGCGATATCTGCGGAGGTAAGATAACACGAGATCTTATCCGAGCGCAGGGTTGCGACCATGGACTGGGAGTAATATTCGTCAATTGCCTTCCAGATCGCACGAGTGTCCTTGTCGGTTTCGTTGGCAAGGACGACGGATCGCGCCTGTGCTTCTTGGAAGATGTCTTCGAAGGTCTTGTACATCCATTCTCGTTGTTTCTTGTCTAGTTCGACGTTGGTAACCGTGAAGTCAAAATCAATGAGGTGGGAGAGACCTTGAGATTTGAGCGTGTTGAGGATATTCTTCGTCCATTTGATGAATGCTGATTCGTCGCGAAACTCTCTGAACTCCGAGCGGACGGACTTGTTGTTCTTGTCCCAAAGTGCGATTGCACGCTCCCCATCAGTCATCGTGGCATCGCTACGTCTCATTTGTTGCCATGGGACAATTTCGCCGTGCGGCTGGAAGAGTCCAACTCTGAAAGCGTCGAGTGCGGTGGCCGTCAGTGATACAATGCGGACGGGTGCTTTCTTCTTGAACGACCAATGGTGATACATCTGTATCGCCGCGAGCAGTAGCTTCTTCCTGGTGAGAGGTACTGGTCTTGGAGCGCCGTTGGTGTCGTCGGAAGCTTGGAGATCCATAACTTCATCTTTGGTGAGAAGTAGGAGATCCATCCATCCGTCAATTCCTTGTTCAGACAGTGCGATGCGCATGTGAGATGCATTGTACCCTGTGTTGAAAACGTCTTCGCCGCATAGGTTGCATAGGACATGCTTGAGCCTGGCTGGTTCATCGACCATCTTGATGGAGGTGTGGCAGTGCGTAAGTGCGACTAGTTAATCTGCTAATGTGAGGAAATACTACTTGAATAGAGGGATCTTGTAGAGGTAGCTACCACCCAACGAGATCAACTGCAACTATTCAAGACGAGTGCAAGGTAAATGCAAATTCGCTTCTTAGTAATTCATAATCTGTGTTGTGAGCTTTGATTGATGCGATCGGTAAAGCTAGTTCGTAGCGTGTTAGATCAATGCATCGTGGTAGTTGATCTTGATTCATACGGAAGTCAACGTGGGATCTACGTGAAACGGTTCGTTGGCAGGATGCTTTACTCCTGTCGAATACTCCAGTTTACCGTGTCCTTTGGTTTCGTTGAGAACGTGTACTTGCCAGCGTTCTCTGTTCCATCGTGTTGACTCATAAAGCATGACTCAATCTACTCACGGATACTCTGAGTCGTGGGAGGAACTGTAACACTTTCAGTGGAAGAAACACGAGCAGCTGCAACGAGAGGTAGAGCTCCTGTATGAAAAAGCGGATCTACTCCCAGAACATCTCCTTGATACCATCTTCAAACGACCCCTGGAAGAACAGATGGCCAAAGGGCCGGGGGATATCAAAGCATGGCTGGTCAATTGGCTTCCAGTTGTTGACGAAGCAATGGGGGACGAGCATGCACGCGAGCAGCTTTCCCAGGCAGGGTAACTATGCACCAATGTGGGATTCCCATAGCAATAGCGGGCGATTTCAGCTTAGCCTAGTTAGTTAGTCATACAGCACCCTCCGGCGTTTTGCTCAATTTCTCCGGTGGGGGGCATACACTAGGCCCATTCGTAAGTGGGTGCCTTTGTGCGTCTGAGGTATGTGGGTTCATCATGGCACCGTTCAGCGGGATTGTCTGACGAGGTGTAGCCTTTAAAATAAAACTTCGTTATTTTTTTGTATGTTTGCAAACAACTTACAGCTGGCTTAAATTAAAAGCTAGGTGCCACCACCCTAGGTGCCACCACCTTAACAATGTATCCTAAGGTCTGGTCGTCGTCGGGCTTTTTCCGCCGAACGGTAAGATAAATCGAGCGAAAGCTTCCATCACCATGCTGCTTCTTGCACCTCTTCTGGGTCTTTTCAGCCATACCACACATAAACAAACTTGTTGGGATAATAGTAAAGAAGAGGAAGAGACTTGATCTGCCACTCAGAGGTGCCCAGGAAGGCTTTTAAACAGCCATATCGCCGATTTTATCTCTAAGGCTACAGTGCCCCAAAGGTGGCAGGCAAGGGCTCTTTGCCACCCAGAGATATAAAAGAGAGAGTACCCAGAAGCAGAAGGTGTCTAGTCAGGCACAGCAAACATTCTTTCAGATCGTGCAGCAGCAGCTTTAGCTCGATTTTTTGTGTCGTTGGGCGATGCGCGCTGGTCAGTAGGATACACCGTTAAAACAGAATTCTATATTCATAAAAATGATTTATCTTTTACAGCTGGAGTCCAAGTACAAGTATTTCAGTATCATTTTGTTTGTTGATCCAAATACAGCATCTATTTGACCCAACGAGACTATTAAAAAAGCTAATTGATCAGCTTCTTGGTCCATAGATAAATTTGTACCAATTCTTGATTTCACAGCAGGCTCCAATTCTTGAAAATGCCATGAGATTCCATGTTGTTTTATTCTATCCAATACTACCTCAAGAATACTATTAGAAATGCACAAAAGTTTATTCAGTAATAGATAATTTCGGCTCATATAGCTTACTCTATCTTTTGTTGGAACTAGACTCCACAGAGATTTAATATCATCAATAAGATTTTTTTCTTCTTGAGCAGAAATCTCTTCTAGCTGATGGCTACTCGCTTCACGAAGTCCTTTTTGAAAAGAATCACGATGTTTGCTGGCGCTCATGTCAAATCTGATTTTTTTCAGTGACATTTGATATTGTCTATTTTCAATTAAAGAAGGATTGAAAAGAACCCGAGCAATTATATCCTCAATGCCTCTTGTTTCACTTTTCAGAACTAGCAAGGGATACTCTCTACTCTGTAAAAAGGACATTGTGCCAACTTCAGGATGACCTATGGCAACAAAAGGTGTTTCAACCGAGACAATATCACCAAGTTTGTTGGCAAGCGAATATTTGAGATATTTGACTGTTATATTTTCAAAGTTATAGCAAAGCAGATTGAGATCAGAGTTAGCCAAATGTGACATATAGATATCTTCACTATCAAATTGTTCTATAAATGTTGTGTGCTTAAAAATTGCAAAGCTTGGTTTGTGGTGTTTGTAACCTCGTCTTGTAACTATATAGAATTGTACTGGTAATCCCATATTTGCAAGACTTTCTACTGCTTGAGCAACTTGCTGCACCGTTTTTAGGTTTGTATCTGATGCCAGAGCACCCACATAACGTACCGTTTTAAAAGTGTTTTGTTTTTGTTTTGTCTTGAATATTTTTTCTGGTTTGACATAGTTGTGAGCAATTTGCATGCGATTTTGAGCAATTCCGTAATTTTTCTCCATATATTGAAGCATCTTTTCTGAAATGACATAAACAAGTCTTGCATTGTTGAAAAAAAAATTCATAACACGCTGATAAATAGTTGTGAGCTTTGTATTTCCCATTGCTTCAATTTTGCCCAGCAAGTCATCCATATAGTGAATTACAAATGGCTTTTTGAGAATAAGCAGTGTAGCAATCTGAAATATTGTCATTATGTGTTTGTCACTAGTCGGGTGAACATATAGCAAATCAGGATTAAATTCAATCAAACTTCTTAAACCTCCAAAAACACCTGTCGCATTCATTTCAGGAACATAATAGTCATATGGTATCTGATGAAAAGCTGAAATATGTTCATAGTCTAGATCATTGCAATGTATTGTAAAGAGACTATTCAGGTCCCACCCTTGAAACATTGCTTTCTTCAGTTGTCCTGTTGGAGACTGGTGACCAAGGTAGATATAATCTAAAATTGCTACGCGGGGATCTAAATATTGCTGAACAGCTTCACCGTGAATAGCTTTTGTATAGTTGACTCTTGGAAAAACCTCCAATTGCCCTCCAACTCCTGCGTTCATAATTTGTATACCTTTCAAATCTGAATACAATCGAAATTTTCTAAATGCTTGAAGCATTCTATACACATTTGGATTATGCCAATGAAAGCGCTCTCTAAAATAATCACTGTTCAAGTGATTGATATCAGGTGAATTAGATGTCATTACATCAATGCTGTTTGCTATATTCCGATCAGTATTATTTATATTGTAGGTTGCATCAACTCCAACAAGAAAGATGTTTTTGAAACCTAGTGAAACTGCAATTTGCATTCCGGTATATGTAACTGTTCCAGCTGCATAGGAGTGAGCACCTACATTATCAGACAAGTCGTTATCCACTGGGAAACTAGTCTGAGGTATATGATTGATAAAGATAGTGTTTTCTTGAACTGGCAAACAATATCCTAGATATGATGGAAATATTTTCACTGGAGCAGTAAAAGTTTCAATTTCTTTGACTCCATCCTCTGCTATTAGATGATCTTCCACCACATAAATTGTGGGTATGAAGTCATTCTGAAGGAAAATACTATTAAAACCAATGGTTATTTCATTTTTCAAAAGATTGAGGTTGGTTTTTTTAAGACTGGGACCATTTCCAACAATAAATATTTTGTTCTTGCCAGAATGCTTGATAATTTTCTTTAGTGCGATCCACCGACTAGTTGAAACTTCCTTATTTTTATCCTGGACAAGCATACATATATTTTGAAGCCCTTTCACTTGTTCAACAAGAGGGATTTTCTTTGTAGATAGAAATAATTGATTTTGAATAGAGATTTTCCTAATGAGATCGTCTTTTTTTACAAGCATTTCACCATCAAAAATACAGCTTTTATACACTGTGGACTCTGGTTCAACTTGATAAGGAAGGTGGTGAAACAAATCTTGTACTTTTTCTTTAATTGATACCAACAAATTTTCCTGATCATAGTTGTTTAGTATGGCGGCGTTAATGTTAGGGTTGAAACCCAGTTCTTCGCTTTCAAAGGGAGAAAGAAGAACTAGCGCTCCTTGCAGATACAGAAGCACTGTCAAAGTAGAAATAAGTTTGATATTTATTTTCCATTTCCGTGTCAAAGCAGAAATAAGTTTTATATTTGGTTTCCATGTCCGTATTGACCGCATAATTGCTTTCAAAATTCTGCTTTTGAATTAGTTAGTGGCGGTAATGGAATTTACAAAATATTTTTTAAACCCTTCATTATTTATTTTCTGGAAATAATAAGTGTAAGAAGAAATGGAATCAATGATCTGGCTGTACAAAAGCATTGCAAGATTGTGAATATGTTGATGATCAGAGAATATGTGGCCATCTGATACAATAGAACACAGTCATCATGCAGCAACTACGTATCGGTTCTGTGAGAGGAGTCTAAACCAGATGGTGGTTGGACTCAGCCACGAGGTGAACCTCACGGAACTGACTAGGACCAGGTAGACGTAAACTCCTCTTATAGTTTTTAGCTTTTTCATATACTGTACTACACCTTGGCCTCTGATTCAGTTATGAGTCCAACTTTTGATGTGACAGGACCTGCACCGGTCATGCCCAAGCAAGCACCAAGTTATTCGTGTCTCTGGACGGGATTCTTTTGAACCCATGTAAGGAGATGGAAAACTTGAGGAGACAATTGCGAGGTGTTGCCTTTAGCTGAGGCAATATCTGACGATAGGACAGCCAGTCCCACCTCCTAGGATGACAACTTGTCACCTAACTACCTAGTTGAGGGCTCCAGATGAACAGTTATGGCCAAGATTGTTAACACTGACTTTTATGGGGAGATAGACAGATGCCTCCTAAGCCAATGAGCTGAGATGCAAGTATGGGGAGACCAGATGGGATCCCAATTGACGGTCAAATAGTCCAATGCCAATGCACCCTTTCTCTCCTGAACACGACTGGAGGTTTGATCACAAGCCCATGTGATGCCCCTCCCAATGTGTCAAGTGTTACTCAGCAATGGACACCTTGATGTATTCAAGAGGGTTGGTAACCCCTGAGGTAAGCAACCAAAGTCCACACTGAGAAGTCAGATGCTACCAGCAGTTCATGGAAGTATCGAGGGAAGCCCCATGATAGGCAAGCTTGTTGGCATCCCATCCATGACTCCAATGGTGGGGAGCGATGAGATTATGCCATAGGAGCCATATGGGTGCAGCGCAGCTGTGCTGGCTCAGTCTGATGGAAAGATCGCTGTTGCATCTATACAGTCTTTCAGTACAAAGAGCTGTGTCACCATCAGACAAGATAGGAACAGCTGTAGAGGACATAGAGTTCCTCTGCAAGAAAGGATGATGATGTTCCTCGTCCAGGACCTGTCTAGATAGATGGCTTGATCTATACCAGCCAAAAGAGATGCATGGATCTGTATCCTGCATGGCTGGATGATGGAGTTTCACGCCAAATTGTGTTTTGTGTGTTTGTTCTTAGCATAGTTTAAAGAAGAAGAAGTAATGAAGAAGAGTTGACCTGAGAAACAGACCCAACAGCACAAGTAGAGCTCTGCAGTAGATCGGATCCTGTATGGCCAGTGCCAGGGTATTGAGCAATTAGACTGTTCAATCATTGCTTCCACAGTGATTGAATAGCATTGGCTGCCAGCCTTGGGCTGGCCTTTCCAGTGCCAGTGGAAGGAGATCTCCACCAAACAGAGCTCTCCATCCCAGCTCTTGTACATCTACCCCTGAGTTCCTCTGGAATTCATAGGGAGAGGAAGATCCACCCCATCGTCGACAAACCGGCAAGCAGGTTCGTGCAAAGCCCTTGAACACCATGTGTTCAATTTCGGTACATCTGGATCTGGAACAAGATCACCATCTACGTTGGACAACAGATGGGTGATGACATTGGCAACGAGCTCCGGAACCTGACACCAACCGTGTTGACGCCACCGGAATACTCAGCGGAGACCCAGACGAGGCTCCACTTAGCAGCCGAACGACACCAGCAGAAAAACACATGTCTGCTAACGGCGAACCAGACCAGCCTAGCAATGCTGGAACAACAGATAATCGCGGTCAATCGGGACCTGAATCAAATAGATAGGTTGCGAGCGTTAACGATAGAAAAAGCAAATATCGTCAATGACATAGCCGACCTAGAAGAAGCCCTTCAAGATCCACCGGAAGAGGAACTCCGGGGATCAGAGAAAACAGAGTATGGAGGACTCATGAAGACCTACCATACTATGTTGGCAAAACTTCAAGAGAATAGGGGTAAAGCATTTAACTTGATCCTTGGGCAGTGCACCCGATTATTGAAGGACAAGATGTCACAGAACACGGATTACGATGCCGTTCTGCTAAAATGCAACCCACTGGAGCTACGAAAAATGATCCATAAGACGATCATGGCCCAGACTGACGATAACTACGTGTACCACACCATCTACCAACAGGAAAAGGCATTGATGAATTTCCACCAAGGGAGCCTCACCCCCTCCGAATATCACGAGCAATTTACCACGAAAAGGGACATCACAAAATCCGTGGGTATTTCCAAGGTACACGACGCAGCGTTGCTGCATACCGCTGAACTACTCTATGACGACACAGAATACGCCGACCTCGGAACCAAGGAACAAAAGAAAGTCATAGATTATGCTGAAGAACGGTACTATAGCTACATCTTCTTAACAAATAGTTCAGCCGAGAATACCAAACTTAAACAGAACCTAAGGGACGACTTTGCCAAAGGCACTGACAACTATCCCCATACTATCCATGGCGTATTACACCTCTTGGACAAACACACCAAGAGTAACACCCCACGACAGTCCACTTCCCATGGAAGCTCCTTTGCTCAGACAGGGCAAGGCGGGAGAGGACGGGGTGGTGGCAGAGGAAGAGGCCGCAGAAACGCAGTCTTTGACAGCGAATCATGGAAAGACAAAGAGTGCTATAACTGCCACAGGACGGGGTATCCAGCCTCGCATTGTCCGAACAAAGATAAAGATAAAGATGACAAAGACAAGTCAAAACAAAGCAAGTCGAGCAAGCATAGCAAGTCGAGCAATAAAAGCTCGAGTAGCAGCCATAAGAAGACCTTTGCTACACTCGGCAAACTGCAGCGGACACTGACAACCCTGTAGGAAGAACAAGATGAAGCTGACTCTGACATGACGGATTCAGATTCAGAGCAATCGAAGCAAAGCCACTTTACGTTCGTACCATTGTTCGCGGACGGAACCAAGCGTGCAAACGGAACCAAGCGCGCGAGTGGAATAGTCGCCCACACGAAAGGATTGGATGACAAAGATATGAGAGAGGTCCAGCTACTGGACAACCAGTCCACGTTAGATTTATTCTGTAATAGAGACATGGTTACCCACATTAGGAAAGTCGATCGTCCTATATCACAGTGAAGAGTACCGGAGGCAAGCTGAAGGTACGGTACACCGCCAAAATACCCAGCCACAAACACAGAGTATGGTTCGACGAAAGAGGAATCATGAACATCCTATCTGTTAAGAGTGTCCGCAAGAATTGCGACACCGTCTACGACTGTCCGAAAGGAACGTACACAGTCAAGAGACCAGGCCCACCGGGCGTAGTATATCAAATGAACAGTGAAGGAATACACGTTCATGACCCTAGGAAACAAGGGAAGGTACTTGTGAACACTGTCGCCAAAATAAGGAAGGCTTCAGCAAACGACAAGTTAAAGCAGCATCAAGGGCGACAATGTTGTATAAGCAACTCGTCTGTCCATCGATTAAAGACTTTCGATGGGCGATTATGAGCAATCAAATCGCAAATTGCCCAGTGACCGTTGAAGACATTGACACGGCACAAGCAATATGGGGCAAGGATATTAATGTGCTAAAAGGCAAGACCACTCGCAAGAAACCGAATGCAGTGGCAGGCAATGCAATGAAAGTACCAATAGACTTTTTGCAACTACACAAGGATGTGTTCCTGACGATGGACATCTTCTTTGTGGCAGGAATTCCGTTCCTGTTAACTCTAAGCCGTAAAATAGATTTTACAACAGCTAGACACCTGCCCAACAGGAAGCTGGAGACCATCCTAGAAGGATTTAATGAGGTCTATCGATTTTACAAAGCTCGTGGTTTTAAAATCACGACCGTTCACGTGGACAATGAGTTTGAACCTCTGTCCAACACTATCATGGCAATGCCGGGTGGACCGGTAGTCAATGTTGCCAGTGCTAATGAGCACATACCCGAGATCGAACAGAGAATCCGTGTAGTCAAGGAAAGGACACGAGCTGTCCGGCACAGCCTACCGTTTACATGCATGCCAAAGATATTGACCGTCAACTTGGTGTTACAAGTCATCAAACAGCTGACGTACTTCCCAAGCAAAGCGGGGATCAGTGTGACAATGAGCCCCCGAATGATCATGAAAGGAGAGTCCCTGGACTATAAAAAGCACCTGAGCCTGCAGTTTGGAGATTACTGCCAGCTGCATGAGGAAGACTCGCCCCGTAACAGCATGGTTGGATGCACGAAAGCGGCCATCTGTATGGGAACGAGCGGAAACAAACAAGGAGGTTACAGGTTTATGAGCCTCCGCTCTGGCAAGAAAATTACTAGGCATTCGTGGGACAAGATCCCAATACCCAACACAGTAATAGCTAGAGTCAACCTATTAGGAAAGGGTCAACCTAAACTACTCGATTTTACTGACCGAAAGAATAGGCCCATAGGTGATGTCGAGATCACAGGAGTGGACGAGGAAGAGGGCACTGACGCACCCCCCCCCCACAACCACAACCTATGCTCCAAAACGATGAGGCCCTGGACGCACAAACCATTGACGAGATGGAAAACGATCCCGACGAACACCAGGCCAACGACGACGAAGCAACAGAGGCCGAGGTCAATGACCAACCGGAAATAGGCGTTGAACTGACTGCAGAACCGATCGTCGAACCGACCGTCGAACCAGTCAATCAGCCTATTGTTGAGACGGTAGAGGAACCGGAACCTACAACTGACCAACAGCCCATGGAACAGACCCCAGGAGTGGACGTTCCAGCCCAAGCGGCACCTGAGTAGATGCCAGGAGTGTGCAGGTCCAGTAGGGTGAGGACACAAGCAAAGGACCCGAATATTCCTAGCTTCTCCGGGAAGAAGTATGAGACGACCAATGTCCATACA